GCAGCAACGGGAGCGCATGCAGCAGCAGAGGCCCCTTGCCCCTGCAACCCAAACCCTAAACCCTAAACCCTAAACCCTAAACCCTAAAGCCAACAAAAAACCCACGCGTGTGAGGGGGTGTAGATACACCGCATACGACAAAGAAACAAAAAGACGAAACAAACAAACAAAAAAAAAAATAAAAAAACAAAAACACAGACAACCCTAAACCCTAAACCCTAAACCCTAAACCCTAAACCCTAAACCCTAGGACAGACCTGCTCCGTATAAAGAAGTGCCGACACTCAAAGTCGCAGTGCCCCAGCATGAGGCCGCCGAGAAACAAAACATCAGCAACAAACAGCACCTGCCAGAGCGGCTCTTCCTCGCCTCCTCCTGCTGCTGCTGCTGCTGCTGCTGTTGCTGCTGCTGCTGCTGCTGCTGCTGCTGCTGCGTCTCCCTCAGCCTCGGCGTAACGAACGCAGCAGCAATGCATGTTTGCTCGGGTGTATGGACAGAGCACGCACTCAAGCAGCGTGAGGCCCTTAGACAAAACCCCCATAGGCAAATACAGCAGCGGCAGAATCCCCCTCTGCTGCTGCTGCTGCTGCTGCTGCTGCTGCTGGTCTTGCTGCATGCAGTCCTCAGCCTGAGAGGCGGAGACACCGCCATACAAAGAAACGTCAAAGCCTCTGCTGAGCTGCAGCAGCTGCTGCTGCTTCTCGCATGCAGGCAACCCGTAATATATTTCTTTCTCTAGCTCTTCCTGTATCTCCTCTCGGCCCAGTGGCAGTCTATGCAGCTCGTGCTGCTGCTGCTGCTGCTGCTGCTGCTGCCGCAGCAGCAGCTGAAGAGGGTTTCCACCTTGCATGCCCGCTCGTGCTGCTGCACCTGCTGTCTGCTGCCACTTGCTGCTGCACTGCACCCGCAGCAAAGGCCGCCCGTTCTTCCCATACAAATACCCTCGCCCCCCCCGCAGCAGCAGCAGGCAGCTGCGGCCCTCGGGACGCACGCCCACCATGTAGTCTCCTGCAGCAGCAGCAGCCACAGCAGCAGCAGCAGCAGCAATGGCAGAGGCAGCAATGGGAGCAGCAGCAGCGACAGCAGCAGCAGCAGCATCGGAAGGTTTAACCAAACAACCGCAGCAGCAACAAACAGCCTCAGCAGCAGCCGCACATAGACACCACAGCAACCAGCAGCAACACACAACAGCACAACCAGCAGCAGCAGCAGCACTAGCAGCAGCAGCAGCACTAGCAGCAGCAGCAGCACTAGCAGCAGCAGCAGCACTAGCAGCAGCAGCAGTAGCAGCACTAGCAGCAGCAGCAGCAGCAGCACTAGCAGCAGCAGCAGCAGCACTAGCAGCAGCAGCAGCAGCAGCACTATCAGCAGCAGCAGCAGCAGCACTAGCAGCAGCAGCAGCAGCACTAGCAGCAGCAGCAGCAGTTTTTACCTGACTTGAAATCCTCTGGTGGCTCATACAATGCCTGCGGCTGCGTGATGAGCTGCTGCAGCGGGCGGCTGTCCATACACTCGAGCGGTGCCCTGGCGGCTTCGCTGTGGTTTCTGCTGCAGCTGCTGCGGTATCTCCTCTGCTGCTGCTGCTGCTGCTGCTGCTGCTGGTGTTCGTGTATCACCTCCTCGTCGTGCTGCTGCTGCTGCAGCAGCTCCTCCTGCTGCCGCAGCTGTCTCTCTGTCTCCGCGCGCAGCTGCTGCAGCAGCTCAGCACGAGCACCTGACCGCAGTATGGAGTTCATCTCTAGCCGCTGCTGCCGCATTGTCTCTGCTGCTGGGTGGCTCTTGAAGGCAGCCTGGCGTTCTGCGTATACATGGCCGCAGCAGCTGCTGCTGCTGCTGTTGCTGCTGCTGTTCCTGCTGCTCTTGCTGCTACCAACAGCCCCCAAAGACTCTGCCATTCCCTGCTGCTGGCTGTGCTGC